GTATACTTCAACTTTTTATTCCAAATTTGCTCCCATTCCCTAAATTGAATGGGTCGTCTTAAATTTTCCGCCCATTTAATCATCGATGTTTTTACCTGTTCAGTTTCTGTTAGCCACTGAATCAATTTATTATAGAGTATTGTAACTATCTTTCTTTTTGTTCTTAATATTTTATCCCATGTGTTTTCTTCCCAGTCAAAACCTATTTTTTGATCTTGTTTAAAATATTCTTTGATTTGCAAATAATGTAACCAAGTTATATTACCATAAGAGTTCTTAAGTTGTTCATAAGGTTTTATCTCCATTTTCCCTTTCACCAGAATGTCCTTATATCTTGGCCAAACCCTCCATCCTAAGAGTCTTCTTTGGTGGGCCTCCATTGCTGAGACCCATAATGGTGTAGTTTTATAAAAGAGGGCTTTGTATCTCATCCATGTCCTCAGTAGGGAGGCTCGCACAAAATGGTTTCCAAAATTTTTTTCCTTTAATTCTCTGTTGTACCAAACATACGCGTGCCATCCTACTCTTAAGTCATGGCCTTCTAAATTTAAACACTTTTCTTTGTCTAAGGTCATCCAGTCTCTTATCCACGACAGAGCACATGCCTCATGATAAGTCTTCAAATCTGGGAATCCCAACCCTCCTCTAGTTTTTTTATCTATTAAATTTAAATAGTTTATTCTTGGCCTTTTCCCTTTCCATATAAATTTCAATAAATCCTTCTTCCATTTTTTAAATAGAGTTTGGTTTCTTATAACCGGGATATTTTGAAAGAGAAATATAAGTTTTGGTAAGACATTCATCTTTATTAAAGATATCCGACCCAGCAAAGATAGGTTTAGCGAATTCCATTTCAATAAATCTTGTTGAATTTTCTTCCACACTGTTTCATAGTTATTCTTCAGCAGTTGGCCATTTCTCGCTGTTAACCAGACTCCCAGGTATCTAATTTTCTTAACACTCTCTATCCCCAATTGTTGTTGAATCTTTACTTGTTTCTCCTTTTCCACATTTTTAAATAAAGTTTTGTTTTCTTCATATTCATTTTAAAACCTGCCACTTTTCCAAATTGTTCTATTTTGGTTATCCAATTTTGTAAATTTTTCTCCGGATCCTCAATTGTTCCTAATAAATCGTCTGCAAAGCTTCCCTCTCCCTCTGTTGTTGACTGTTGGTGTGATATTATAATTTTTTTTTCACTAATTAAACCATAAAACTGGCCCAGACATGCGGAAATAATAACGAAACGACCTCAAAACAATAACGAAACGAATACAATATCGAAATACGAAGCATTTACAGAACGTTTTTGAAAATTCGTTTTTTTAAATAATTGCTCCAGAATGGTTCGTTATCGTTTTGTAATTGAAAAAATTAACGAATTATTAACGAATTACGAATTAACGAAACAAAACCGCCCAGCCCTATTAAATACAGCTTAAAATTTTGTTAGGGTCACAGCCGTTCCTTTTAACCGAAACCACCAAGAGTTCAGTCTAACAATTTGTGCCTGTTCAGCATTTTGTAATTGAAAAAATTAACGAAGTATTAACGAATTACGAATTAACGAAACGAAACCGCCCAGCCCTACTATTTACACTTGGGGGAATGCTCTCTCCCAAACTGCATTCAATTCCCAAAGTATGTACTGTAATTTCATTTTCCCATCCTATACAGAAACTAACCATCACATAAAGTAACAGTTGTGTAAAAGACAGAATAGAGCCAAGGAAAAGAGGGAAGCAAACTCCAACTTTGCTGCAGGGAAGGGGAATGAAGGGACACAACTAAGAAATAAATCATTAATAGAAAAAGGCAGAGTTGTGATTTTCAAACATCAGAACAATTGCAACATGGAATGCAGCATGCAGAGGTATGCTATATTTAGTAAAGCCTGGTTTGGCAGAAAGAAATGTCTTTAACAAATAATAATATAAAGACACAAATTTGATATTTATTTCTGGTTTCCAATCAGTAGGCTTTATCCTTTAATTGCAATCTCGCTATCTGTGTGTACAGATAGAGACAGAGAGCTTGCATTTGTTAAATGCCTTCTATGTTTAAAGATCAAAAATGCTTGAAGATGAAATACATGAAAGTGTACCTTTCTCTATACCAGCCTGTCTTTGGCTTAAGACAGTGTTTCTCAACCTTCCTAATGCCGCGACCCCTTAATACAGTTCCTCACGTTGTGGTGACCGGCCCCAACAATAACATTTCTTTTTCATAACTGTAATTTTGCTACTGTTATGAATAGTAATGTAAATATCAGATGTGCAGGATATATTTTCATTCACTTAGCCAAGTGTTTGGCACAAATACCCGATATGCCCAAATTTGAATACTGTTTGGGATTGATTTTGTCACTTGGGAGTTGTAGTTGCTGAGATTTATAGGTAACCTACTATCAAAGAGCATTCTGAACTCCACCAATGTTGGAATTGAACCATACTTGGCACTCAGAACTCCCATGACCAACAAAAAATATTGTGTTTTCTGGTGGTCTTTGGCGACCCCTCCGACACCCCCGTGCAATCTCCTCAGGGGTCCCGACCCTCCAGGTTGAGAAACACTGGTTTAAGATCTTCCATTCACTGCTTTTCATGCAGGGAGATAAGTTTTACACTTATAAAGGACAGAAATTAATCTGTGGTAGCATCACAACCATGCATCCACTTTCCAAGCAGAAGAGCACTGCAAGCTTTTCATTGACACAGCAGTTAAAACAGTAATATTGCCTTTGTAGGTTTTACCATTTTATTTGCACTTTCTTTGTCCTACCATTTATTGAGGCATTGTGGTATTGCTTGAGTGTGTGTGTGTATTTGTAGCACAGTATTCTTGATTTTATTAATGTTGTTGTACGTTACTTAGAATCTACAAGATTGAAAGTTACTTTTAAAAATCGCTACAGTATAGATTGAGTCTCCCTTATTTGAAATACTTGAATCTGAGGTTTTTGTATTGTTTTATATTAAAAAAAATGGAAAACTGTCTTTGCATGTGCATATTTTTATCATGTCAGAAGCGACTTGAGAAACTGCAAGTCACTTCTGGTGTGAGAGAATTGGTTGTCGCACAGATGTTGCCCTGGGGACATCTGAATGTGTTACCATCCTGTGGGAGGCTTCTTTCATATTCCTGCATGAGAAGCTGGAGCTGATAGAAGGGGGCTTACCCTGCTCTCTGGATTCGAACTGCCAATCTTTTGGTCAGCAGTCCTGCCAGCACAAGGATTTAACCCACTGCACCACCGGGGGCTCACACACCTTAGGGAACAAACTGCAAGTGACTGATGTTGCCCAGGTGACAACTGAATGTGTTATCATCCTGTGGCAGGCTTCTCTCATGTTCCCAGATGGGAAGCTGGAGCTGACAGGCAGGAGTTCACCCCCTGTCATGGATTTGAACTGCCAACCTTCAGGTCACAAGGGGTTAATCCATTGCGTACTATGACTCCTTTGCATATGCATAGTGAATGAGGGATGGAGGGAAAGGGGGTTATTATATGCCCAGCGCCTGCCAAGTTCCCACTCAATAGGTCCTAGTTGGGGGGGGGGGGGGGGGGGAGAGGATGAGGAATGGAGAGAAGACTCTATTAGTACTTGAATGGAAGAGTGTCAATAAATACCATGTGCTGTATGTTAGATTTTTAGAGGGATGAATGGGTAAAAACACTTCTGAGTACTTCTTGCCTAGGAAAACCCTATGAAAGTCATAGAGTTATCATACGTTGATTGGTGACACAGGCATACATTTGCCTAGCACTTCTTGCATATGACACAGCTTCTTTGCCAGACAGATTATGCAGAAATTGTACTATGATAGCACATCACAAGTAAACTGTTTCAGAATCAACCCATTTGAAATGTGATGCTGTAGGAGATTTCTATAAATGCTATGGCTTTCCAAAAAAAGCAAAAAAAAAAAAACAAGTCCAAAATCAAATCGATAGAAGCAAAGGTTCATAAACTAAGGCCCCTTCTACACTGCCATATAAAATCCGAATTATCTGTTTTGAACTGGAGTATCTGGTTGCGGAAATCTGAATTATATCTCAGTGTAGAAATAGTCTGCATTGGAGGTTTTTTTTTTTTTACATTAATTAGCCATTGACAAGGAAAGGTTGTTACGACTAAATGCATCCTTCCACCATCCAGATCTCCTTTTTGCTAGTTAGACTCCGTAAAAACTGGTGATGAATATAATGAACATATGAAGCAATGCGGTCAAACTCACCTTCACACACCTCTGCTCAAATACCAGCCAACCATTCATATATGAAGCTTGTTGTGCGATCATGATCCAGCCACGGTCTTCTAATTTACAGCATTGTTATGTGAATTAAAAAGTGCAGAAGAAGGGCAAGATACAAGCATAATAAACAATCCAAATATTTAAAATCAAAAGGGTTGTTGTAAGTTTTTCAGGCTTTATGGTAATGTTCCAGAAGCATTATCTCCTGACGTTTTGCCTGCATCTATGGCAGGCATCCTCAGAGGCTGCATGGTCACAACCTCTGAGGATGCCTGCCATAAATGTAGTCGAAAATTCAGGAGATAATGCTTTTGGAACATAGCTATACAGCCCGAAAAACTTACAACAACCCAGTGATTCCGGCCATGAAGGCCTTCAACAATACATTAAAATTCAATGGCTTGTCTTACCTTCTACCAGAGAACGGATTTTGGCCTGGCAAAGAAGAACTGGGCTAACTCACTCCATCTGCCTTCCTCCCTTGGCTGCTCATTCCTCTTTTATAGGGATGAAGAATTAAGGGCTTGTTCAACAGACCTGACCAGGAAGCTCTGAGGTTATTGACAGATAAATAGAAGAGGCCCCAACTGGAATGGACTACCCAGAGGGGTGGGGAGCAGACTCAGCAAACTGTATTTCCTGCTGCTCTGATTGTTGGATCGATCTGCCCTCAGAGCTTTGGCCCTACCTGGCAGCTTCAGAAAGGAGAAGCTGCCTTTCTGTTGGTCACAAATTCTTGTTCAATATTTCTCTGATGTCGGACAAACTCCGCTGCAATGGTTTTCCTCAGTATGTATCAGGGACATTTGGACAAATGGGGTATTGTCCAGTAACTCAACAACTTTGCAAATCAATAGGAAAGGACATGATATACAGTTGGCCCTCCATATTTGCAGGTTTAACTTTTGCAAATTTGATTATCCATGTACTTAATTTATATGTTCTCTCTAAGAAGCCCAGTGTCCCCCAGTGCAACTCTGTGGTCAACCTCCACCAGATGTTGACCAAGGAACTGTGCTAGGACCTAGGGTGCATCCAGACAACCCCTTTTTTGTGGTAACTCCCACAATAAAAAGGGGCTATCAGATGACATCCTGGACAATCTTGAATTAATTCGCCACAAACCCAGAAAACCCTGGTTTGTAGTAAATTAAGTAGATAGCGGGTTTATTCCGTGCCTTCTTGGAAGGCACGGGATAAACTCACTATTTTCAGTTCTAGACTGCAGAATACTGCAGGCCAGACACCATTCCCACAGTTTTCTGGACTAAATTGGTATGGAAAATTGTAAGAAACCACCCCCCTCTCCCCCACAGCCCCCAAACCCCTTTGAAAAGTAAGGAAAACTTACCTGGCCTCCAGTAGACTTTAGCCGGAACTCTCCTGGCATGTAGAAATGATATGCCGGGGGGGGGGGGGGAAGGAAAATTGCCCCTCCTGCTCTCCTGGCTTGTCATTTCTACACACCGGGAGAGCTCCGGCTACAGTCTACTGGAGGCCGGGTAAGTTTTCCTTACTTTGGGGGCTGTGGGGGAGGAGGGCAGGGCCTACAGATGTTCTTGTGGGCCAGTCCCACGAGAGCACCTGGACACCCACCTCAGAAAGCTCGTGCTTTCTGGGGTGGGTGGAGACAGCACCCCAGGAACATTCATGTTTTTCAAATGCAGATGCTCTTGGGATAAAAGGCTGTCTGGAACCGCTCCTAGATATCACAAGAAAGGTGTTCTCAAAAGGAATAGTTAGCCTTTTTTCATTTTCATGGAGACCCCATACTCCTAACTACTGTGTATAACTCCCTGTAGACCAGGCATAGGCAAACTTTTTTGTCTTGGGGCTGCATTGTGGGCCTGGCCAGGAGGGCTAGGCCAGGGGTGAGAGGGGCAGGCACAAGCTGGGTGAGGTGGGCTTGGGAGGGGGAGGGTATGGATCATCCTCAGGTTGTCCTCCCAGCATAAGTATGGGGCTGCTCACCCTATCCTTATGCCCGGAAGAAGGTGGGACATGTGGCAACTTCCCCCCACCCCCTCCCCATCTCCCCCCCCCTTTGGGCTGTCCTCTTGACATTTTGCCGGGAGAATGGCAAGAAAGGTGACGGTTGAGAGTGCTCCGGGGGGCTCTCAGCTGCCACGTGTCTTCTTCAATCCATTCTCCCAACATAAAGATGTGACCCCTCACACTGTCCTTATGTGAGGAGGAGGTTGAGACACATGGTGGCCGAGAGAACTCCAAAGGGCTTTCAGCTGCTACAGGCTCCCTTCCCTTATCATTTTGGCATAAGAACAGAGGTCCTACTAGTCAGTCGAAATGCCGAACAGGGCATAGGATTACAGCCTGTTTTGGATGGGGTTACACTCCCCTTGAAGACTCAGGTTCGCAGCTTGGGGGTGGATCCTGGATTCATCGCTGAGCCTGGAATCTCAGGTCTCAGCGGTGGCAAGGGAAGCCTTTGTACAACTAAAACTTGTGTGCCAGCTGCGTCCATTCCTTGGGAAGTCTGATCTGACCCCAGAAGATGGGGAAAGAGCGGAGGAAAGGAGGTAAAACAGTTTCCTCCACTTTCCCCTGCTTTCCTCCTGTTCGTCTGATGAGGTCCTTAGTTGAAAACATAGTCTAATCCCAAAGCATGCCCATCCCAAGATAGATCAGCTGATTAAAGTACCACCACACCATTACACAATACTTCTTGTTCTGTATGCTTCTGCTAAAGCTTGAAAATTTACTTGTTTGTACAACAGCTCTCAGAAGGCTTCTAAAACTGGTCCCAGCTGGACTCTTGATGGGGCCTTGCATCGCAGCAAATGTCATTATGCAAGTATTTACACTTTCTTGGAGTTTGTGTAAGGGCGATATTCTGTTAGTTCAGAGTTCAAAAAGTTGCAAAAGAGGTTCCAAAAGTTTTGTTCTTAGTGGTGGGTGGGGAGTTAGATCAGTTGTTTTGCCATCAGAATGTGCAGAGTTGTTAATTCTAGTATGTTAAGCAATGAATGAAACAGATCTCAACCCCCAAACATAACTTTATAGCAACCTTGTTTAATGCATAGCTAATTCCTATGCTCTTTTGGGCAGTTCAGGTCTGTTTTACCAAACTTTTGTAATCATGCATCTCCATCAAGGAAATATCCTAAACAGATGAATGCTGAGAGTGCTACAGCACAATACCTTTCCTGTTACAGTACGTACATTTTAGACTTTGGACAACATACCAGGTTCCCACCCCCCTGCTTTTGTTTGCGCAAACTAAAATGAAGAGCATTTCTATGCTATTGCTCCAGTGATTTGTGTAGCAACCGGGTCAACTCCAGAGCATGATGTGGTTTGTAGGATGTTTCTCATTTCACTTGATTACAACATCAGGGTTTGTGAAATAGCTTTAAACAAAAGTTGGTGTAGCTTCAGGGAATTGCAGAATGGGGTGAAGATTTTGAGAAACTTGAAGGCCCCACCTACACAGGACAAACTGTAACACTAAGGACCTCATCCCACGATGCCCACCCCCAAAGTTTTGGGGGCTAGAAGAAGCCTGCAAGGTGACTTGAGTGGCCCCGCGAGCTGCGCACCCTCACTCCTCCTTCCAGTGCGATGGGAAGAGTGGAGAAATCGCTACAGGGCATATGGCACTACATCACTTCTCCCCCACCAGATGGGGGAAGCACAAAAAGAGCACTATAAAGAGAGAAAATTGCAGAAAACTTACCTTTATCATGGACACTGCCAGTGATGTAGAAAATTAGAGTGGCTGACGCAGGATGCTGCAAACATGGCGAAGGGGGGTAGGGGGTCAAAAGGGACATTGCCAGCCATGTGTTGTTTAAAGGACACATTGGTGTCCATAACATTGGACAAAAGAAGCAGAGACCAGCATAAAATTGCTTTTAAAAACCCCATCTGATGAGGTCCCTAGACAGCAAACACCCATGAAAGCATGCAAAAGAAAGCCCTTTATGCACACCAGTGCTCTGTGATTTGTTGAAACCACTATATGGGACTCAAACTGGTGACAAGACTTTCTATGTAATCATCTGCACATCAAAAATACATTCTTCAGTACTGGTTGGAAACTGACTCAAGTGGTCAGTGTAGCTATATCCTAAGTTATCTGTCATCCAATTTAATGAATGAGATCAAACTCCAACTTGCTTGAGCAGTAGCTTAGAAGCAAACACATTTTCCTGCTGATGTTTCATTTGTTTTTATGCAGTAGGGGTGTATGGTTCTGACAGCAATATTAACCCCTTAACAGGGCCAGCATGCCTATGACTCGACCACAGTGTGTTTCTTTATTCTCTGAACTCGCTGTCAGTTTTAAAAATAATTTTCAAATGTATTTTATATTATATGATAGTATAGGAGCCCCCAATGGCGCAGCAGGTTAAACTGCTGAGCTGCTGAATTTGCTGACTGAAAGGTTGGTGGTTCAAATCTGTGGAGTGGGGTGAACTCCCACTGTTAGCCCCAGCTTCTGCCAACCTAGCAGTTCAAAAACATGCAAATGTAAGTAGATCAACAGGCACCACTTCGGCAGAAAGGTAATGGCACTCCATACAGTCATGCCGGCCACATGACCTTGGACAACGCCAGCTTTTCGGCTTAGAAATGGAGATGTGCACCACCACCCAGAGTCGGACTCGACTAAACTTAATGTTAAGGGGAAACTTTTACCTTTACCTATATTATGGATATCACAAGGGACATACATCCAAACAAAATGCTTTTGCAAATGTATCTTCTTTTAGAAGGGTAACTTTCAGCTTTCTTGGACTTAAAAGCACCATAACTTGAAGTTGACAACAATAAAAACAGAACTCTTGCCTTCATCCAAACAGACAGACATAGGACTGTGCTGACAAACTTAAAATTTACATTCCCCAGTATCCATCAAGGAATTTTCTTATGATAAACACAATTTTTTACATATATATAGCACAATAATATTCCTGTTAAGGTACCATATTATAGATGCTTAACAACGTATGTATTAGAGTTTTTCCCTTTCATTGGCATGAATTCCAAGAATTCAATTTTGTTGCACGGACTGAAGTAGCAACAGGGAAGTAATGAAAAGTTCATTTCCAGTAAATATTGTGGTTTATAAGCTGTTTCATAATGGACAAAGTTGGCACAATCTCCATTCTGTGGCTTTGCTCCTACTTCGTAAAACAAATTGAAATTTTATATTATAGTATTGTATATTGCATTTGGCACAATATACATGAAATATACAATTTAACCCACTGGTGGCACAGCGGGTTAAACCCCTGAGCTGCTGAACTTTGTGACTGAAAGATTGGCGATTTGAATCCAGGAAATGGGGTGAACTCCTGCTGCTAGGCCCAGCTTCTGCCAACCAAGCAGTTCGAAAACATGCACCTGTGAGTAGATCAATAGGTACCACCTCGATGGGAGCCAAGCACCTCTTCTTTAGAGTAAAAACAGGTAGAAGCCTCCTTAAAGTGTGTGCCTGCCTTCAGCTGAGCACCTCTCCTCTAGAGTAAGAAACAGCTGTAAGAACTTGAATCCTAGCCTTGGAAAGAGTGTGTGTGTGGTGTGCAGAGAAATTGTACATGCCTGCTTGCAGCTGAGTGCCTCTTCTCTAAAGTTGAAACAGCCTAAATAAATGCCTAAAATGTTGAGA